CCCGCCACCTTAGGTGTATGTGGCTGGCGCCTTAGCCGCTTGAGCCACAGGCACCGAGCCCCAGCTTATTTTTCTAATCTACTTGACCCTAAGAAGAAAGAAATGAGTGCATGAAGCAGTTTCTCAAGGGTACCCTGCCAATTTACAATCCCTTTTTCCACCACCTAGCGACTTGGGCTCAGGGGCTGCCTTATCCTTTTCTTTCCTTGGAATGCCACGTCACCTTCTCCCTGCTTTCTTCTCTTTCCCCACTCTGTTTTCCTCTCTCTCTCTCTCTCCCTTTCTCCTTCTAAATAGAGAAAATAAAGGTAGGGCGCGGTTTCTCACGCAGGTAATCCTAGCACTCTGGGAAGCCGAGGCTGGTGGATCACCTGAGCTCACCGAATTGGAGACGGCCCTGAGCCAGAGGGAGACCTAGTTTCTAAAAAACCAGCCAGGCGTTGTGGTGGGCGCCTGTAGTTCCAGCTACTTGGGAGGCTGAAGCAAGAGAATCGCTTGAACCCAAGAGTTTGAGGTTGCTGTGCGCTACGACACTGTGGCACTTCACCGAGGGCGACAAAAGAAAAAAAAATCCTAATCTTTGCCTGGAGAAACCTATCTCAAGCCGGCGTGCACCAGCCTAATAAAGGCTATATAGACTATTTTAGTTTCGCTTTGTTTTTTGTAGAAAATCAGTTGCAACAAGACAGATAAAAAGAGTGAACTGTCAGATTTTGATCCACCCGCACGGGGGCGGGAGTTCCTTGGTGGCTGGTCCCAGTGCCGGGAAAGTTGTTTCATTTGCCACAGGTGTTGCCTTGCGACCTCCCACGCGTGCGCCAAGTCTCTACAGCTGGCGCGGGTAGCGCCTCCGAGGGGTAGACTTGGCACCCAGCCAAGGCAGTTTCTTTGCAGATTTACCCTCAGGGCCACAGAAATGCACCGATCCCCGCTTTGTACTCGGGATTAGGGTCCGCGTGCGGGAATGCGCCGCGCTCAGGTATGTCGTTATAGCACCCAGGGCTAGGCACGGGCTCCTGTCTGGTCTCTCGAGCGCTTAAGGACTGTCTGGAGAATATGTCTTGGCGTGCGGAAGTGGGGATATCCAGTAGAGACATCCCGGATGGGGTGTGCTGGCGTTTAGGGAAGCCTCGGTAAGATCGCCTTTTGCTCTCTGCTCTGCCTTACAGGGATCGGGCGGGACAAGCAGGACTTTGGAATCCGATGGGGAGGTGTTGCAGGAAGAGGGGGATCAACGTGCAGGCTTGCGCCACGGCCTCCATAGTCAGTCAGTTCCGCCAGGTCGCCTTCGCCTCCCTGTAGCGGGCGCGCGCCTCCCCACACCTCCTCCCCGCTGCTGGACCGCCCGACGGAAGCCGTGGGTCAGTCCAGGGTCCAAGTCTACGGCCAGGAGGGCAGGGGCGGGCTACGATGCGCCGTGTGCCGGCACGTCACAGCCTCAGCTACTGATTGGCCGTCTACGGCGGTCACAGGCCAGGAGCTGCGGGATTGGCGCCGCCCGTGGTTAGAGCTGGACTAACGGGACTCCGGGCCGCGGGTCGCAGTCCAGACGCAAGAGGGGCTAGTGTTGGCGTGGAGCCCAGAGCCACAGAGTGGGAGCCTGGCCAGGACACGCGCACCATGCCCTACCTGCTCATCAGCACCCAGATCCGAATGGTGAGTACGCGCCACTGGCGACTTGGAACCCGGTCCCGGCCCGAGGAGGGCTGAGACCGCGCCTTTGAGCCTCCCTAACCAGCAGCGCCCACCCGCGGCTGCATCCGGAACCCGCCCGGACACGCCCCCTCAGCCCCGGAGAAGGAGTTGGGGAAGCGGGCGCCGAGGGACCCTCGGGACTCAGATTGCTTTGGCCGGGAAGGCCAGAAGCGCGCGTCCCAGCGACTGGGCGACCTACCAGAGCTTCTGGCTCCTGTCCTACCAGTGTGCAGGAGGAAGCCAGGAAGCCCTGGTCCCATGCGTGCAGCACCTAGTGCCCTGCACAGAGACGCTCAGAAGGAAAAACGTGGACTAACAGGAGAGAAAACAGTTTAGTCCCAAGGCACTAACCCCCTGTGCCAAGTTCCTGGCCCATACACTGCAACTTTGCACTTCCAGAAAGCATTTTTTTTTTTTTTTTTAGAGCCAAAGTCTTTGTTGCCCTTGGTAGTGTCGTGACATCACAGCTCACAGCAACCTCCAGCTCTTGGGCTTAGGCAATTCTCTTGCCTCAGCCTCCTGAGTAGCTGGGACTACAGGCGCCCACCACAATGCCCGGCTAGAAAACAAATTTTATTTTATTTTATTTATTTATTTGAGACAGAGTCTCACTTTGTGAGCCTGGGTAGAATGTTGTGGCATCACAGCTCATAGCAACCTCAAACTCTTGGAATTAAGCGATTCTCTTGCCTCAGCCTTCCAAATAGCTGGGACTACAAGTACTTGCCACAAGCCCAGCTATTTTTTGTTGCAGCCATCATTGTTGTTGGGGCCCAGGCTGGATTCAAACCTGCCACCTCAGGTATATGTGGCTGGCACCTTAGCCACTTGAGCCACAGGCGCTGAGCCTCTGGGCTGGGTTTGAACCCGCCAAGTTCAGTGTATGTTGCTGGCGTGGTAACCACTGTACTACCAGCGCTGAGCCCAGCTGGCTATTTTTAAATGCTGGGTCTCCCTCTGGCTCAGGGCAGTCTCAGACCTTCTAGCTCAGGCAGTCCACCCTCCTTGGCCTCCCAGAGTGCTAGGATTACAGGCATGAGCCATTACACCTGGCGTTTTTTGGCTATTATAAATAATACTTGTACTTGAACATTTGTGGACAAGTTTGCACGTGGACACATTTCATTTCTCTTTTTCTCTGATTGTGGTACACATAAACATGGGTGGTGGTGTCTGCATGAAGGTGCTAATAGCCAGGCAAACCCCAGCTCAGTTTTAGGGGGCCAGGGAGGCCCCACATTGCTCCTCCTGATCACTGATGGGCTTCCCCAGGATCCTTACCACCCCCTCCAGCTTTTAGCTAGAGCTCTTAGAGCCAATAGGCAGGGAAGGAAGGAAAGATGAGGCCTACCACCTCTTACCTGGCAGCCAGCCAAGCAGCTACTATGGCTTACCTTGCAGGAAGTGGGCCCCACTATGGTGGGCGATGAATACTCGGATCCAGAGCTAATGCAGCATCTGGGGGCCTCCAAGAGAAGTGTCCTGGGAAACAACTTGTAAGTAGTGACATCCCCAGTACCTTCCCCTGCCAACCCCTAGATTCACCCATTCCCTTTATACAACCACCAAACCTCAGGACAGTGCCCAGCCTTAGAGCCTGCACCCTGGGGCTCAATCCACTGTAGGACTGGTCCCATCTACAGCCTCCCTACAACCCCCAAGGCTTGTTCCAAAAGCTTTTCCACTAGAAAGCTTGCCCATCCTTAATGGAACCCCAAATCTGTCTTCTGGGCCTAGGATACTATAGCGGGCTGTTCTTTGTCCTGCCTTCATTTCTAAGGGAGCCCCATCAGCAAAGACAGGCACATAGGCTC